CGCTATTAGTTCTTCTAAAAGAAACCAGTGGCAATTACTGTTAAGAGTCCTGTCAGTATCAGTTTATTTCCGACTGGTGAGAGCGGGGAGGAGGAGGAAGGTGGTGCAGCGAGATCTCTGAGAGGGGGAGGGGTGTAATAACGAAGGGAGAAAAGGAGGTGAAAAATCCCCCACCTAGAAGACCGCCTCAAATCCGCCTATGCCCCCTTTTGCAGTACTTTTTTTTTGGACTTACTGGTGAAGTTAACATCATCAGCATCATCCGGACCGAACAGATCATCCTCGGCGAAATCCACATCCGGCTCGACGAAGCCCGCGTAAGCAATCCCGCTACTACTTCCCATCCGAACCAATAAAAATCGTTGAAATTTCTCACTGTTTTAGTCCCATTAAAGTGCTGAAAATTGAAATCAGTCAAAAACACTAAGGCCAATGTCTCTTGTGAAAGCATCATCGCTATGTGTGTGTTCCATCACGTTTGAAGAGACAAAAATAACGTCGGGACCACCGTCGAGTGACGAAGCACTGATCAAAACACAATGAAATGATGGGAAAAAATGACATGGTTGTTGACTTGCTGCAAAAGGAACAAGGTGTTAACAGCAAGGAAACGAAGCTGCCTGCTAGATCCCTCCGCTTTGTTCAGTTGCCCTTCAATTCCATGTGATATGCAAATGTCCCGTCTGCTGGCTCGAGCTCCCTCCTTCCCCCTCGTGATATGTAAGGATGTGATTGGGAATGAAATGCGAATTGTTTTTCTGTGCCAAATAATTGTACGATGGAAGCTTGGAGCTGTTTACAGATCAACACTCGGACTATCAGTTTAAGTACCTCACTTTAGTGATTTCACTGGGGTAATAGGGCACTGCAGATACTTCAAAAAAAAAATCCATTTTCCCTGATCCAAGCGTTAAACGTGAAAAAGTAAAGTCCGACGGTTGGAAACCATAATTTATTAGGCATAAAGCTTGTCCAGAACATTCAAAACAACTTGAAAAGCGCCTTTTTGAGAAATAATGAGGCTTATTTTAATCGTGCTGAGGCTTATCTGGCAAAAAAACAAGGCCTATGAACAGCTTCTTCCCTTCACAGCAATCTG